AGGCTAACTTTAGTTGTTAGCTTGGATTTATTCCATACTAACTTTAGCCGTTAGCTTGAATGATATCCCAGGCTAACTTTAGCTGTTAGCTTGGATTTATTCCATACTAATTTTCGCTGTTAGTTTGGATGATATTCTAGGCTAACTTTAGCCGTTAGCTTGGATGTATTCCATGCTAACTTTAGCCGTTAGCTTGGATGTATTCCATGCTAACTTTAGCTGTTAGCCCAGAGTAACAGATGCCATTCTGTAAATCCCAAATTATGGAAATTCTCCTTCTTCCTTCATCATGAAGATGTGCACAGTACTCCGCTGTCGTTTTGGCATATCTGTGTTGAAATGCCATTTAGAGAGATTTTTCAAACTCTCCATAAAGACATCTAAAAGCAAAACATGATGAGCATGGGCACAGATTTTAAAGCGCACGAGATTTGAAAAAAAAAAAAAGAATATCACAGCGGGCAAAATTAAGAACCAAATGTCCTCACCTTACTTTAAAACGCTGTCTTTATCTCAGGGCTTCTCGCAATTATTTCACTTGACTTAAATCCACAGCTTAACACACACAAGCTGGATATTTGGCGTGCTAACATTGTTTTGCCTGTTCTTTCCCGATTCTTCATTGGGCTAGATAACATTTTACATTGCCCACATCCAAAAATTTGTCCTATGTAATTATATATATGTGTTTTCATTATGTTATTTTAACTATTAGGACATTATAACAAAAGTAAAAGGTGTCAAAAGTTCACACATGAGTTACTTTAGTAGAAGTATAGATGCTGCAGTTTAAAAACACTCTGGTTAAAGTTGAAGTATCAACTTGACCTCTTTATTCAAGTTAAAGTGAAAAACTATGTGCTCCAAAAACTCCTTAAAGTATAAAAGTATAAAGTAGCCTTCAAGAAAACAGCCAGATGCCACTATATGAACTGAAAGATCAATTTTTTGACTTTCTTTGAGATAGGTCCAAGGATGAGGGAGGTCTTGTTGGTCTCCGTCTCCCGATACGCTCTCGCCTGTGTCCGACCTTTCAACATCTTTTTCTGAATCCTACATTGTAGCATGGCATAGACAATTCATGTTAGCAGTTTCAAGAACACCTGCTTGCTTCTGATGATTTCCTTTAGCTAACCAATGAGTGTTTGCGTTATATGACTTATTACACTAGTTTTCACTAGATGTGAATGGAGCCAATGATCTGCATTGGATGGAGCACATGACGGGAAATAAATATTTATAAACATTAAACCGAAGCCAAGAGAAACGAGTAACGTTTGTAACAAAATATTTTTACTTTGTTACTTGACACATCTGTATATGAGTGTATTTTTTACAACCCGTGTAATTAACTATACAGATTTATGAACATAGTAATTAAAAGTACCACTGTCTGCTTTGCTATTAGTGTCGTGTTTAAATGGCTCACCATCATGTTGAAATCTGGCATGTGTTGCGGCGTAAATAAGGTCTGATCAGTTGCTTCAGTATCAGGTGTGTTTAAGATTGATTTTTCGCACCATTGCATCTGCAAAAGACGTCCTAGTCTACAATTGCGTAGGGGGTCAACCAGGTGTCAGTGATGGGGCCCCTAAGAGGTCGTGGGCCCGTAAGCAACTGCCGTCTCGGCTTACCAATAGTTACGCCATTGGCTAAAGACCTTCCAAAGGTTTGGTGTTTAAAGCACTTTAAATGTGAATGAGAGAAGATGACTTTGTGGCACATGGGGTTATTGGATGGGATGAAGGGTGTATGTAATGTTCCTCACAAAGTGGTAGGGATTAACTTTTTTTTATAATTTCTGTCTGAGGCTACAGCATTGTTTTCTGCAGTCACAAACACACAACTGTAAAACTGGGCAATGCAATTATAGAAAAGATGCTGCAAAGTTGCATCCAAGCTGGCAGTTCATACAGTGCAGAGTAATTTGATTCTTTTATTGGACGGCAACAGCAGAGGTTCACATATGCATACAAAGAAGTGCTCATTAGAAATGAATACATTGTGAAAACATTTTTTTTTTTTTTTTAGCATAATCTAATACAAAAGCTGGAGGTTTGACTCTCCCTGCACAGACTGACATCTCAGTGATCACATCTTATGACACTCCAAACACTATATGCATGATCAATTTATGTAACAAGTTCCTTTCTTGGCCGGAATGAAAGTTTGTCTAAGTATTGGGCCTTTATTATACAGTCAATTGTTGCAGAGTTTTGGTTATATTTAAAACCTTACTTTTTGGATAAAAAGTAAAGTTTTGATGAGCGGAGCTCCATAAAATAAGCAGATGGAGGCTCGTCGATAACAGCGACGACATGCAGAATATTTAATCTTTTATGGCATATTAAATTTTGGTCTCTCTGCTTAGGATCCTCCTTCTATTATTGCCCTGCCTGCCAATAATCAAAACATTGAAACGGTGGCTCACATATCAGCGCCATCCTGAGCTGTGTCATCAACTGTCCCGCTGTTCATGTGGGCTGAATGAGATTTCAATCAGAATTCAAGCTGATGTCTGGATTCCCATTTATCATCATAAAGCGACTTCTGGCACCGCTTATCTTTATTTTGACTTCTGTCCTCCTTGTTGTGTGTGTGTGTTTGTCTATGAAGGCTACAGTCGGGGAAAGGAGAATGTCAAAATTAGTTTTCATGGGTGGATATATAACTGTTTGTGACGGCGGGAGCCTCTGAGGTATTGATGTTCTTGTTTGGTTTTTGGTGTTGATTTTAGGAAAGTTTGAGGATCCTGCTTCTTCCATCACTCTGATTTATGTTGTTTTCTAGATGTAATACTTTTTTTTTTTTTTTTAAATGACAGGTGTCATAATTCCCCAATCTTAATAGTTGACATGATTCTTTTTGCCAGTCGGGCAGAACTCGTTCTCATTTCTTTCTGTTTAATTCACACTCGCACATAGAACCACTTTCAGTCTGTGCTACCAGACAAAGAGCCTCTCTGTGCTGAGGCAGCTGCTGCCCCTCTTAAATGAGCTCCTTTCTAATTGAATTTAATTGATATGACCTTTATTTAAGAAGGTCATAAAAAAGTCCAAATGCAATTTAGATCAAAAGGCAAATTTGAAAAAGTTAAATACCTTAAACTCAAGAGGAAGAATCCAGGCACGAGCATCAGGCTACACATGATCCAAATGATCCAATGAGTTGCTGTCAGTCTGGGTTGCTGCTGCTGCTACTTTTAGGCTACGTTCACACTGCAGCCTGAAGTGACCCAATTCCGTCTTTTTTGCCCATATGTGACCTCTATCTGATCTTCTTATGACAGTCTGAACGACACAGAT